CCCCCCTTTATTTTATGAATATATGCGCATGGCGGCTTATTGGAAGCGCTCAAATTTTCTGCATGTTTTTTATTTACATAAACTTTTTGATATGGTTTTTTAGTGGCTTGCTGTTGGGTTCATTGTTCATTTTTTTTCGCCCGCCGTGCTGTCAAAGTTCTCTACACACAGCATTCTGGTTTACTCAAGTTTGTACATAGCCCACCAAAAAAAAGGAGATGTTTTTGATTGAAAGCTTAGAGCGGCGTGAAAAAAAGCAAATGCAATTCAATTCCAGATTAAATCATTATTCACCCCATGCGTATGCGTAATCCAAGCGGATAAAATATGATAAAGGTGTGGTAGGGAAGATAACAAAAAAAATTTTATCCCTGATTATGTGCATATCTGCATAGGATAATTTTTCATTTTCTGTCTGTCTGTGTTTGTAATTTCTATTTTAATAGCGATTACTATGCGAGTTTGTACGTAACTAGACTCAATTAGTTATGCACGTGTGAGGTGACTTGTACACTTGCGTACTTACATACATACATATGTGTATATCTTACTATCTATTTGATAAATTGCCAAAGTAGTTGTATACAATTTTTCATTTATTTAATGAGGAAAATAAGCAACCTATTTCCTTCATACTCTTACTTATAAAGTCATCGGTGTAAGCATGGATTTAGTTTGAAAGAGGCTTTCATAGGCAAATGCTTCTTATAAAGTTGATTCATGTTAGCATTCTTGATTTTTCTTCTATTTAAAAAGATGTAGAGAAGAATTTTTCTATTTATTTTTTGTAGATTGCAGTAGTAGGTTAAAAAGAGAGTGCCTAGAGAGAGAGAGAGAGAAACGAGACGCCTTTTTCCGGAACAGAAAAGGAGAAAAGGGAGGCAGAAAGTCGTTAGTGCGAGTAGCATAAGAACCTTGCGGGCAGAAAAAAAAACCCAAAAATTCTATTGAAAAACTAAGTAATTTTCTAAAAAAAAAATACTAATATCCAGTAAGGTTTGCAAGATGTAATTTTCAAAATTTTTTATCTACAAATTAAGTTGTCTGCTACAAGATTACTCCTTTTGACAATTTAGCTCCAACAGGGAGACTAAAATGACAAAAAAAAACCGAAATTCCAGAATATAATTTCGGGTCACAGAATTTTCCAAAATAATTCAGTTTTAATAGGCATAGTGAATAAAAAAGGCAAACTTTAAAAGGGAAAAACTTAAAAAATAACAGATTTTTCGTATTTATTTTTTTCCATTTGTATTAAAGCTAAGGTGCCATGCTGCTGCATTGTCGACTTCTCTTGGGCGACGAATAAGAGAAATATATGTTTAGAAGAAAGAAAATACGCTGTGTACACAAATCTTACCGTTGAAGTGTAGGGTTAAAAAGTTTGTGCCACTTACCTGAAATGAGAGAAATAAAAATATATTAAATTGTCTGTTTAATTATATAACATAATAACATAAATACAAATATGATGCTAACGTGATATATGGATACAAAAGGATTAGATACATACATACGTATTACGTGTTATGGATACATTTTACGTATAAATATCTACTGTGAATTTTATTTAAGCGCAAACTTTTTCCATATATTTAATTTTACGCCTAGCTCAAACTCTATGCATTTTTTTTTTTAACAGCGACAGCCTGTCTGAATTCGCTGAAATAAATCAGTCGACGGACATAGTAAGCGAAAAAAATTTCTGCAGAAAATTTTCTTGTTTAAAAAAGAAAAACGAATTTTTTGCAGTTTTGAACCTTTTACAAATTAAACCAAAATTTTTTCGGCTATTCCATTTCAACATGAACAAGCTTCGATTTTAGAATGTTTGTTGCATTTACATATGTATAAAAAAAACGGCTACTTCCAAAATTTACCAAACACGCGTGCATTTCTGGCTACTTGTAGCATCTCGTTGAGCAACATGGCTCGATTTGAATTGCAAATTCGTGACAAGCCGTTACTCCCTTTGTTTTTTGTTTCTGTTTTTTTCTGATTGGGACTTTTCGCTAGTTCTGAAAAAGGTACGAATTTCAAAGTTTCTATTTAACTTGTTGATGTTGTCGACTGACCAGATTTTTTTAAATTAGCATTCGATTTTATGAACGAAAGTGTAAGATATTATAAAAAAGAGTAAGTGCGCCTGTAAAAGTGAAACTTATGTACGTAAAATATTTAGGTTGTCTCATAATGAATATATGTATATTATTGGTTTAAAATTGTTAGCCGGCCCAATTATGGTTGTCGATGTCGATGTCATATTTTATTAAAAACAATTGCCCTCGTAAATCTAACTCCAGTCTTTTTGGGGAAAGGTTTTCCTCGCAAAACTACTGTAGTCAGCGTAGTTAGGACCGAATATCCTGTTATAAACCTAAGGTTCTATTTTAATCCATAACATCGTACCTCATACAAGAACAAACAAAAATTAATCTATAAGTCTTTATTTGATGCCATGTGATACTATGTCTTGTGGTGAATTTAGGTGTATTGAGTTAAAGTTTGGTGAATTGAGGTGTGGTAAGTGCAGGCTTGGTGAGTTCAGGTGTGGTAAATTCAGGTGTTGTGTTGAGTCAAATTGGTATTTTGGTAATGCGGTTTTTGCGTAGGCATAAATGTCTTAAAAGAGAATTTAATTTATTTTTAGAATTTTGATAATTAGCTCTCAGTTACACTACGCAACAAATTTTAAATTAAATTTAGCCCTTTAACACCTTTTATAAAGTTTCCATGTGAGTGTAAATGTAAAATGCATTATTAGCGCCGAAAGAAAAATGGCCACTAATATTTTTGGTAATATTTCTAAAAATTTTTTGGTAACCTTTTCACTAAGCTTGTAGCAACCGTGTTTGTGAGTTAAGGTGAGTTCAGTATACGAGTGGTGAGTTCTCTCTTTTTTCTAAATATATCTTTTTTATTTATAAATAATTTCGCGTAATATTATTTCGTCTATCTTTATCCTTACATTTATCGTTATGCTCATATAGTTTCCAGGACAGATTAACCATAGAGCCGGATCATTGTTGTCGCCAGGGAGTGAAGAGGAAAAAGGTCTTCAAATTTATTTCGTTATTCGATTAATCGTGCTGTGAAACGCCAGAAAATTCCGAATTCAAAATGAAACGAATCCAAAGGGAGCGTAGTAAGAATGGTGCTTCCTTCAACAGTTGCGGCAATTTCAACCAGCATCTCCGCGAACTTAACACCATCAAATCCAGTCTACGCTTTCTAACTCATTACGTAATCTTTCAATGCCCATAGCTTCTGAATGAAAAATCGGAAATCACCACTGTGCGGTCTGCATAAAACTAAAAAAAGTAGCCTTGAGGCCATTTTTCGTGCACTTAACCTTAAATAGCTCAACAGTACTAAGCTCGAACTCAAGTTCTACGTAGAACATTACTTCGAAAATGACCTATAGCTGCATAACACCAGGACATTTAAGATCTGCATTCATAAGTATCATGTTCAAAGCTATCTTTGATTACATGTTAAATAGCAGATTCACTGAATTTTATTTTCTGTAACGTAAAAGTCCGACTAGTGTTTGCAAATAACTACTGCGAAATTGATTTGTTAAGGAACTGTGTATCAGCCTCTGAAAACACGGTATTAGGAGAGAAGGCTTTTTTGATACTATAAAACAGCTTTAACAAGTAAAAAAGTCTAAGTGCGGCTGAAGCCGAACATAAAATACCCGTCGCAAGTATTCAATATAGTTTTCACCCCTATTTCTAACAAGTTCAATGGTATGTTCAGTTATACTTAACGAGATAAACTTATAATATTACTTCTTTTCAAGTATCAATTTTGAGTAAATTAGCGTCTTTTAATTTCGAAATATTGAGGTTTCAAGCATTTCGGAAATTTACCGTTATATGAAAAATGGAAGTAAATTTAGTCCGATCTCAATAACTTTTAACACTTTGCTTTTTTATGTGGCAAGCGAAATAATCGTACCAAGCTTGGTACAAATTGATTGAAAAGTTACCGAGATATACTACCTGGTCATAAGTTGGCAGTGCCACGCCCATTTTCCAAAATTTTATCATAAACGTGCTTTTTGCTAAAGAATTATTGCAAACATCAATTTTGAATAAATTAGCTTCTGTATTTACTGATTTATCGAAGATTTTGTAGTTCTCTAAATTACCGTTATATAGGATGCGAGCGTGGTTATTGTCCGATTCAAAAAAAAAATTCAGCTATATGCAATGCTGTACGAAGGCCAAGAACTGTACCAGGCTTGGGAGAAATTGGTGTAGCGGTTACCAATATATACACATGTAATCTTAAGTGGGCGTGCCTACGCCCATTTTCCAAAAATTTATAATATTCTTCTTTTTCGTCTAAAAATCATTGTAAATTTTTAATTTTCAGTGAATAAGCTTCAGTAGTTACTAAAATGTCGCAGTTCTCGTATTTCTGAAAACTACCGTTATATGGGAAGTAGGCGTGGTTACCGTCCGTTTTCGCCCATTTCCATCAATACCAACCTACCTTGGGTAAAGGGCAACCTATATACTAAATTTCGCTGAGATATCTCAATTTTTGCTCGAGTTATCGTGTACGCGGACGGACGGGCGGACGGGCGGACGGGCGGACGGACGGACAGACAGACATGGCTTAATCGACTTGTCTTTTCATTCTAATCATTTATCTATACATTTCTATATCTATATTTAACTCGATTCGATTTTGCTGTTACAAACAACAACAACAACAAAGTTATATCATTTAATGTTGAGCCGAATTTTTACGAAAACGTTGAAATATTTTTTTAAAATACCATCTTTTTTTTTAAATCACAAGAATTTACTATAAATTAAATCTCAAAATTGCTGGCTGCAACAATAAGAAGCACATCAGAAAGAGACAAGCACTGAAAAGAAGAAATCTGGCATACGTGCAACACTTGGCTGCCATCACGTGCAACACATATCATTGGCACAACGTAGCACAACAACACTGCAACAACACAACAACAAATTATTTTCTCATATGTAATACCAACAGCACATACCTTCAATGGTGATGTACGGACGCGGTGAAACATTATCGAACGAACGATTAATTATGCCACTCTCACGTGGCAATGTGGTGCACTGATGATGCAACATCGCAGCTGGATCCCCGATTACATCCCGGCTTTGTAGCTGACTGCTATTGGCGGGTGCAACTTCCTGTTGCTGATATCCATTTTGATGCGCTGGCTGGGCGCAGGACTCATGCAATTGAGCCGGTACTCGCAATTTCCCCGTTGCGGTGGAGGCTAAATCAGTTACGCTGCTGTCAGCTATTAAGTGTGCTTGTGTGTGTGTTGTTTTGTGAGTCTGTGTTTGTTTGGCTGTTGTTTCTGACTCGACATCGTGCGACTTGTTCACAGGCATTGCACGTATATTTTGTGCTGATGATGAAGACGTTGGCGATGATGAAGCAGCTGGTGTGGAAGAAAGAGTTGTTTTTTGTGTTGCTGTTGTAACTGTTCGAGTTTTGTTTTTTATTGGCTGCTCATCATGACCGCCGTCATTGTCATCCTCCGCGCTGGCCTCTGCATCAGCAAAATGCGTGACCGCGCTGTGCGTGAGTGCATTGCCCATTTCAATTTGCTTGGGTAGCACAACAATGCGCTGTTGCTGCTCGATGATAGGCGCACGCACCAACAAACCAACATTGTGACCCTCCAACTGCGGCACAAATTCGGCTAAATTCGTACTCGCATCGGTACTGGCGCCAATTGCTGCAGCTTCTTCCAACTGCATGCGTTTTGCGGCACCACTATCTACATCAGCGGCAGCATGACTTTCAGCAGCTTCATCAATCAATTCGGTAATGTCAAGCGGATTGAGTCCAAAAGGCGAAGCTGCATGCTTGGGCGGATGAGGTTCAATTAATGCAGCCGGGTATTTGCGTGTGGGTGAGCGACTGCCACGTGTTGGGTACGGACTCGAGGAGCGACTACGAGAGCCGCTGCGATGTGGCTGCTGTGCGGAGGTGCGTGTGCGTTCGCTTCCATTTGATTGAGCTGGGGACAAGCGCGAAGTCGTTGATTGCTGTTTGAATGACTGCAGCGGCGATGCATGCGACTGATTGTTTTCACTTACTGCTGCCGCTTTTGTCTTTGTTGTATGGCTAACTGCATCAATTTGCACTTCATTGTCCCTCTTTTGTTTCTCTTGCGTATAAGAAGTGGCGGACGTGAGCGCAGTACGTTCGCTCAAAACCTTTTGTGGCACATCTACCAACGTCTGCCATGCCAGTTGCTGTTTAAATATGGGGCTTGGTATCTCGTAGGTGGCTTTGTATGTGTCGAAGGTGTCCTCCTGCTGCGGCACATTTGTACCAGCGTCCTTTTGTGCCTGGATGTGCAGTTTTAATTTGCCACGCTGCCCAGTTATAACTCGTTCGTTGCGCTTCTCATCGGATGTAGTTTTGTTTAGTTTTGTCTCTTCTTTCGGCACCTTTTGTGCTGCCAATGCTGCTGCTGCGACCGCTGCTGCCGCCACAGTGCTGCGCGCTGATTTGGTGTCTACCGAGCTTTCCGTTGACTGTGCACCCTGTTGGCTGCATAATTTTCGCTTACTTTTCATTATTGGCACACTTGCTGATTGCTGTTGACTTAGTTGTTGACTAACACAGCCGGCTGCTTGCTGTTGTTCCTCAACTAAGTCAGTTCGCAGGCAATCTTGATTTGAGGTTTTGTTTTCAACGCCAATTTTAAGCTGATTGTTGGCCGCTTCTTCACGCTCGCCTGGTGCTTGCTCTCCATGCGGTTGTTGCTGCTTTGCAGGCTTGTGCTTTTCTTCCAGCTCCTCCGTGGTCGCATCCTGCTGCAGCACATCAATCACCTGTTCGACCAGCTGCTCCTGCGATTGATGCGTAGAAATATAACCGGTAACCACATTTTTGCATAACTCTTTTGGCAAGCTGCCCGCACGGAGTGGTGGTGTTGGCAATACCGGTGTCTGGGAAGCCTGCTGTGATTGCTTTAGCCGGTGCAGTTGCTGCTCCTGCTGTAGTCGTACGTGCTGCTGTTGTCTTTGCAGTGACTCATCCAAGCAACGGTGGGATTCGGGTTCGAGCTGTAAATCTCCCCCTTTATCTGCTAGCATTGCAGCTGTTTGTGCTGTGGTTTTGCTTGTCGTTGAATCTTTCCCTTCCACTGCAATGGCAGTTGTGCGTCGTCTTGGTACAGGTGTGGTGGGTGCAGATTGCGTTGTGGTTGCTGCAGGTTTATCTTTGGGTCTTAGGGCGCCGACAGCCCAACTTTCCCGTAGTAGTTTAGCTGGCTCAACCTGCTGATTTGGTTGTTGTTTTTGTGATTGCTCATCACTCTGTTCTTGCTGCTTCATTGATGTTGCTGCGGTTGTCTTTGCTATTGCCGGTGTTGGCATGTTGTGCTGCACTTGGGCTAGTTGCTCATAATTGGCTACGACATCGACCACATGCTCAGGGGCGGCAACTGATTTTCCGCCTTCAGCCACTGCCTTATCACCAATTTTTGTTTGAATTGCGTCACCAGATTTTATATTACTATCTCCCTGTCCTGCCGTCCTTTTGCCGCTGCGCTCACTTGCCGCACACTGTATGTTCTCGAAATTTCCATTTTCATTTGGCTTAACCACTTCGGCATTGGTTTCAATATCTTCCAGCTCAGAAATGTCATTACGACTGATGTTATCTGTAGCACGCTCGCAATTATCGCTGTCATCAATTTTGTCATTTACCACAGCAATCTCATCGGTAACATTTGGCAGCTTATCGTCCTCTTCAATTTCAATTAGGACGATATTTGTTGGTTTGCGCCCAGCAGCTACACTCACATCGTCAAGATTTTCCAATATTGTCACACGTTTGGGCCAAGTTGCCGTGGGCGCAAAGTGATGTTCGACAGTCAACAACTGCAGCGCATTACCCGCATCTAGCGCGTCAGGGGTGGCTGTGGGTACCGCAATCAAGCGTCGCATCAACGGCTGTAGCACGCTGCCGCCTTCAACGGCGGTATCTACTTGCCTCACTGAGCTCAGTGGCACATGCTTGGCAGCTAGTTTAGCCACTTTGCTTTTCGGCTCTACACTATCCACCTTTATGTCGGACAAATCCTGCAGTGCCTGCTCAACCACAGGCATATTTTCGAGTACAACAGGGCGTATGAGTGTTGCCGTTACCGGCGTATTGTCAGCCGCGGCGTCAAGCACATGCAGCGCCTGTTTTGGTAGCAACTGGCGGGCAAGTGTTTGCAGCGGACTTTCCAGTGGCGGCAGTGCGGTTGTTGCAGCTTGTTGATCTAATGGCTGAGATGGTTTGCGTTGTGTTTCTATTTCTTGCAGTATTGCACGTGGCTGTTGCACGGCCTGCTGTCCTTTGTCACCTGGCTGCTCAGCCTCGTGTTTTTGTAGCGGTAAGCTGCGATTAAGCGCCAATTTTGCATTCTCCATATAAGCGTCAATCTGTCTAAGGTGTTCTGCTATAGATTGCTGAAAGAGTCCATATTTCGCCTCGAGCGCCGCGATTTCGACTGCATTTTCCTCTTGTTGCGCTGTTGCTGACACTGCCAATAGTTCTGATATTGGCTTTGGCGCTGGCGCTTTCGAAATCACCGCTGTGGGCATTGTTATGCGCTGTTGCCTGTCCAATGCCTTCTGCTGCTGCTGCTGCTGCTGCCCTTTCAACGCATTGCTGCTCATTTCCCACTCATTTCCATCAACACAGTTTCGTTGCTTGTCACTTGCGGATATACCGGATTTCAATGGTTCTGTTGTTGTTGCCTTCTCCAATCTTGGTGTGACCGGATTTTCACACTCATCAGGCGTCTCTCCAAAGGGACCATACAAGTACTCACCATCAGTGTAGTAAATGCCACGAGGGCGCTCGAGCCGCGTTTTCTGTTGGCTTCGCTGTGCCACTGTTGCATGGATTTTACTTTTGGCAACTTCATTTTCGTTGGCTTTTGCAGCCGTTCTTAGTGGCTTTTGTGGTTGGCGATTACGCAGTCCTGTTCTGTGGCTGGATTGATGCCCTGCGCCTGATTGTAGGCCAGCGGTATTGTATGTGGGCGTTTGGGTGGCATGTGTGGTGCACTCTATTTGATGTGCTTTATTTGACACTGCCGCAAATGTATCCATTTTATTGGCACTATCGTCGCGCTGGTTATTAATATTTTTGGCACTGCTTGCAGCGCCAGCGGTTGACTGCCTTAAATTTTCATTAGTGGTCGCAAAGTTGCCGCTGCAAAAGCCCGTTGCTGCCGCTGTTGGCATTTTCAATAAACTACTGTGTTCCGCTGCTTGTTTGTGCGCCATTTGCCTTGGTGTACTGGCAATGGTGCGCGATGAGCTGCGTTGAGTGACTGGTGGCGATGGTGGTGTTGGGGTTGTTTGCTTCATAGCGTCCGTTGATCGCGCTATGGGCTTCTCCAGCTCTCGCCGCGTTACTATACCCGCTTTGAGGTTCTGAGGCTGATCGCCCGCACCCCATTGCTTTAACATCTCCTCCGTCGGTGAGGGGACTATGGTAATGGCGGCTGGTATGTATGCCACCGTGCGGTCCTCCAAATCTATAGAACGTAAGTAGATGCATGCATCATCGTAGAGTTGGTCTGCACTAACGGTACTTAGGTTGCGACGCGGCGTGGTCATGTCCGGTGTGACATTGTCCTGCTCTACCTCGATAGGTATGATGCGCGCTGTGTGTGGTGCGTGTTGCCTCATGTTATTTTCACTGCTACTACGATGTTCCTGTTTTAGTTGATCCTGCTGTTTCTGATGTAATTGCTTTTGAGTGCCTTGTACTTCAAATGTGCGCGCTGAGCCCGCATCACCAATTTTACACCTTGTCGTAGGTGTTTCCGCCTGCGTCGCTTCTTTCGCAGCTTGTGGCGTTGGTGGCAGTGGTATGTGCTCCAGATCGCTAGCCTGCCGCGCTTTAATTGACTCTGCGGCCGAATTTTTTTCGCCCATTGCGTATATGCGCGACGCGTTTTGTTTCTCTGCGGCTGCTACTGCTTTAGCTCGCAAATCACGCTTGTCACCGGCAGCCATGACGCCCCTATCGTTGCGATAACTAGCAGCCGCATCAGGCCCTTCATCAGCGTCCATGTCATTGTAACAAATTTTTATTTCTGTAGCCAATTTAATAGCGCGCCGCTGTACCCGTGGTGATATGCCACCACCCGATTTTGATGAATTGCCCGTTGGTGCTGTTGGTTTTGTCACTGCAGCTCGACCACTGCCAGCGGCAGAGTCCTGGCTATTACATGCCATTATATTGACTTCCGTGACGCTATTCGCTGGTGTAATACGCGCTGCGGGACTGTTGCCACTACTTCCTCCTCCGCCGAAGCGTGGTTTCAGTGGTGGTAACTGTTCGCGTCTACGCTGTTGCTGCGTGCGGCCCCGATCTAGCGATTGTGATTGTCGATTATTATTGATGCCGGTTTTTGTAGTATTTTCTGTGGCGGTGATTTGTTGCTGCGCCGCCGTGGCTGCGGCAATATTGTCATAACTGTGCCATTTTTTAGGTGCGCCACCCTCACGACGCGCTAATTGTTCGAAGTAGTAGCAACGTGGCTCTACCAGCCCGACATTCACGTCAGCCGCTTTGGTTTCGGGTGCGGAGAAGCCACGCGCCACCGGCGTATTATAGTCATCTACATCATCGTAGTCGTTGTTAGTGTTGGCGACATTAGTCAGTGCTTCGCCATCCACATCCTTGTTCATGGCTGCAGGCCAGCTAGTTTTTTTTGTGTCGCTAAAAGATTCTGCAGCCGCATTGACCGATGATGTATTGGCCATGTTATTGTGCACATTTGTCAATGTTTGTTGCGTCGCACCAGTGCCAATAGTGCAGACGTTGGCGCGCGTCTCGCGGGAGCTATCGGCGACACGCGCTGATTTATTTGTCGCATTTTTTTGAACCTTTTGCTTTTGCGATTGCAATTGCTCCATTTTATTGCGTTGCCGCAACTCGGTGGGCGTCGGTTCAATTATTCGCGTGGGACTATTGAATTTCTCACGTATCGCATCGATGCCATGCCGCTTACAAACGCTCTCCGCAAAGTGTACGGAATTGTTGTTGCAGATGCTGCAGCTAGTGCTCCTGGTCTGCTGGTCTTTCGAAGAACTGCGTGAATGTGTGAGTGATTGCGTTCCATCCCGGCGCGCTGCCACATAGCCACTCCGCACATCGACTACCGCTCCCTGCACTGCGTAATCACTGCTCGGAGGCGGCCAGCTGTGGTCGCGTTTATGTAAATTCCTGCGTGTGGCAAGACGATTTATCTTCAATACGGTATCACGGTCGACGGTGATGTCGTGCTGATGGTACAGGTACTGCGTTTTGATTTGTTCCAACTGCTGTTGGTGCACCGGTGTGTGCAAGGCTTGTTCGTAGTACTGCTGATAGTAGTCCGAATCCGGAGGGTGGAGTCGACGCTGCCGTGGGCGACTCTGCCGTTGACAAGCAACGTCTGTTGGGGTGGAGCGTGTTGCCGGTTCACATGGACATGTTTTTTGTTTTTTTTTTTGTATCAAATGTTTTGTTTTGTTTAGCAGTGTAGGTTGCCAGTCGTTATAGTTGGTCATTTGTTGTTGATTGTTAGCATTTGATTTGAATATTTGTGAAATTGTAGTTAAGTTGTTGTCGTTAGCGTTATTGTGATTTTTCATTCATCAGTGTTGTTGTGGTCGTGGTTTTTGTTGTTGAGGAACAATCACGCACACGCAAAAAGAATAGACTGGTATTAATTTTTATGCTTGGTATATGCAGAAAAATATTCTACTTTTTCATTGTGACAAATTACACAATTAACATTAAAAATTGCTTGCGGAAAAATTCCACTTTGGATGGATGTGACATTAAGGACATTTGGAATTTTAAAGCATCGCCTTTAATTTGTACATGTAACAGTCAAGTTGCTAGTTAATGTTAATGATATTTGGACAACATCGTTTTCATAATAGGGGTCACGACAATAACGGTTTTCGCATCAACAAAAAAGGAATTGATCCTGACGGGATTTATATCCTGACGGCAGCAACACGGAGCGCTGGGGATGGGGCTTAAGTATTGTTATGTAAGTCTCCGTTGACGTGCCCTGCACAGCAGAAATAAACCAAAAGAATACTGGGTATCGGTTTGAAGTTTACTTTTTCTCATCCAAAGGCCGAGAAATGATTAGAGGCTAAAGTTCCGGGGTAAAAGCGTTTCTGGCTTCTAGTCAGGACTCAGCTCTATCTGCGGCATTTTCAATGACTGCTAAACAATGCACTCCTATTGAACTACCGTTTAGTTCGAAGGCAGTCTTGAATACCGGGAGCACTTCGAAGCTTAAAAGGAGAAATATTAAGTCTTACGGGGTGACACTAAAGTCAAGTTACGCCTACTAGAACGAGTCGACTTCCGAAGTTGGTGTATGGGACATTAACCAGTTTTTGACGTTCTCGTCGAAGATGCCAACTATGTATGGAGATGTTTAGAGGAAGAAGCTGAAAAAGTCGATGTAGGCGTTTCCAGTAAAACTTAGGCAAATACGAAGAAGAAACAGAGATTTGGTAGATGAAATTGAGGATTAAGTATTCTTAATTAGAGCTGAAAATGCTTTTATTAAAATTTATAAAAATTTCTATTAATACATAAAAAAAAATAAAAGTAATATAGAAAATAGTTTAAAGGGTGTGCTTAGCTCAGCGTTGAGCATTGCTGACTTTGTACACCAATTTTTCTGGATCGATTCCTGCCAAAGGTCTACGGCAAAATATTTGCTAGAAGCGAGGTTATGCTACAAAAGAAATACGAAAAAAAAAATAAATTTAAATGTTTTTGTTGCATCGTACGTTTGTTTATAGCATAAATAGGACCACTTCTAGCAAGCACACTGCCGTCAGCCTAATTCTAGGAGACATTTCTGTAATATACGCTATAAGCTATAACTTCTACCGATTTAAACTATTGTTAATTTTAAAAATTTCCAAAACACCGAAAGAATTGGCTAGAAGCTTCAATAATGTTGTTCATTTCCGAGTATCGTTCTGTATCTCGCATGATTTTACAATTTCGTTTAAGAAGAAAATGAGAAAAACAATTCGTATACATATGTATTTATATTATGTACATATCTTGCTATTTATACAGGAAAAATCTCACTCATTTCATAAACACATCACTCAGCGGTGAGTTTGGTGAGTTAACACGCATTTGCAAATGCCCTAGCTAGTGCGAGGCGAACTAACTTTTATGTGTGAAAATGTGTGTTTGTATGTAGATGAATGCTTACCCAATAGTGCGCTGATTTGTGAAAGCAGTCCATTCTCAGCATGAAATTTCGCAATATTTTCACCCATTATCAAAAAAATATTTACAGTGAAAATTACGAAGCTCGGGTCGCTATAACCTATAGCCTCCATATAACTGATTTTTCAGATATGGGGCTTTACTGTAAAACTTCTTTATTTGGACAGCTAAAACCGATAAATTTCGTAAGATATTTTATAAATAATAATACAAAGTCTATTGAGAAAAACGTCAAAATCTATGCTGTATAGGCTTTATCTCTTATACCACTGAGTGCTCTGATACCAGTTTTAGCGATTTATGTAGGAGGGTAATCCCATTAAATTGAGTTACCGATTTACATACCGATCACACAGCATTGAAAATCACTTAGATTGGTATATCTTCCATACCTCTGATTGTTTAGAAATGTTTTTTTATATATGTGTTTCCTATATATATGACTGCTGTGATTAAATAAATTTTTTCAAATGCAGTAATCTGTTAAAAAATGTTCAGATGTTCATGAAGGGTATGAGGCCTTCGACATAAGCGAAGACAGCGCTGCTCCTACTTATTTTTTCTGTTTTTGGTATTTCTGAATTAGAAAAAGCCTCTGTGAAGTGCAGAACTATATCAAACGACGAAGAAAATTGATTCAAATTAAACATATGAAGACACATTTATAAAGCGGCTGTAGCTGAGTGTGTGGATGCTTGCTGTTGCTGTTTGCTAATTCCGTCACAGGAAACATGTAAAATGATAACACAAATTTTTTGTTTTGTATCTCCGAATTATGAAAAAGCATCTGTGAAGTGCAGAACATTAACTTATTCAAACGAAAAATCGCCAGCCAATAGTTTGGTTAATGTAAACAAAATTGTGGTTAATATTACCAAATCATTGTTGAAAATATCAAGCAAGGCATTGTAAATATTAACCAAAAATCACGTTGATTCCTTTTCAAGTTTGAATTTAGTAATATAAATAAATTTTGGTTGATTTTGCTCTCAGTGTACTTAGCGCAAAATACACCACACAAATATTTGCACAAATATCAACTAGAACAAATAAGAATCGAATTAGAGCTCGGAAAAATCGTATTTGCTCTAATTTGTATTTGCGCATTAGTTGCATCATTCAAACACAGAAGCAAATTTTTAATAGCGCCGGGTGATTAGAAGTGAATATTAACTTTCCGCGATGATAGAAACTAAAATTTTTATCGATTTTTCAAGGCCATAACCGATCTTCTGACAAAGAGTTGATCGAGGGCGACCAAAGGAGCTCGCTATACTTATAAAGCCTTAACTTTCGCTGTTGATGGGGGTTTTTGACAGGCCAAAATGCGATTGCTAGTCACGCGGTGCGGTTAGGAATCTTTCCTGATCCCTCCTGTAGCAGCTGTCCAGAGGATGACGGCATGAAATCATTTTCGAACCTTCTATTAGACTGCCCAGCATTCGCGAGGCTAACATGGAAACATTTTTCCTTGCACTTTCTGACCAAATCTGGAGAACTTTCAGGCACCGAAATAAGCCGCATTCAAAATCGGCTCGCGGCGTTTCCTCGACTAAGTAATGGTCTCCGTTCAGTTTTCGTGGTTTTACAAAAGAAAATTCCACCAATTTTCAAGTGCGTTCTTGGACAGGGTGGAGCTTCAAACTTAACTAACCTAACCTGGAGTTTAGATTTACTTCAAACCCCTCTCATAACTACTAAGGAACTTGTGCATAGCGGTGATGTATAAAGTTTGAGGGCACCTCGAAATATCATCCTAGGAATATAATATTTTATGATTTTATTATTTTTTATAAAGGCAACATTTCATTGCCTTGACATTACAAATAAAAACTGTATAAAAAAAATTACCATATATTCGTATTATCGCTCCACCTTATTGTATAGCCCCCAAAACTATCTCCGTTTCAGTGATGTAAGTACATGTACGAAAATGACAAACGTTTTTTTCGAATGAACCGTCCCGGTCTAATGCACATTTGTTCACATTCACTTACACAATATAGATGCACATACGCTATAGCGAATATTTTCACCTCAGCCTTTTGTTGCTGTCCGATTTTGAGCGAGACTATAGAGCGAGAAATACATATATGTACATTAGGGTGGTAAAAAGAAAAGAAAAGTCGGAATTTTAATGCTCTCACCCCCTAGGATTGTTCTATATCGAAAAAAGTAACAACTTTTCTTAAAAATGGTATAGAATTCTTGAAAATCAATATTTTTCGATTGGAAAACTCTGTTTATCTTCAGGAGACTTTCAGTAATAATATCCAATTGTATGTCGGGGTTTTTGGAGGTTTTAAGCGGTCCTATAAATTATAGTTACCATGAAAAAGTGGTTAAATAAACAATTATTATTGGGAATCTCCTGCAGACAAATAGAGTCTTCCGATCGAACTATTGATTTTTAAAAATTCTACACAATTTCTACGAAAAGTTGTTTTAGCTTCTAAATATATTTTGATTTCAAAAAAGAAATAGGGATATATCATTTTCGGCACAGAACAAACCTAGATGGTAAGGGCATAAAAATTCCGACGTCACTTTTTCACATGCATTTTTGGACCACCCTGATGTACATGCATATGTATGTATATATGTATTCGCCTTGTAGAGCAAGGTGAATTTCTTAGAAATAGCTCACAAAATTAGTAACAATTAAACAATAATATATATGTATGTACATTAGACCGTATCGGAAAAAATGTTCGTCTTACACCCCTGAGCCTAAATAAAGTATTTGCATAGGTACTTTCGAAAATTTTTTTTTGTTATATCTTCGGGGTTTGTGTACAGTCGGTTCGTAAAGTAAGATATATCGATGTTATTGTCTCGCGGAGAAAGAATCATTAAACTTTTGCTAAGAAAGTATTTCGATTAGAATGGGTTGCCTTTTGACGTAGAATACGTCCTACGTTTCAGTGTGGATGCAAGGCTTAGCGTTTTCAGGGAATTCGTTTTTATTTACAAAAGTGGGAAATTTTTTATATACGCAAATGCTCGAAAACCACTCGAATGATTTAGTTTTTGTTTTATTGAATCACAAAATTCTAGTTAATTCCTTTCGTTTGGTATATGGAAAGTATTGGTTGATATCATCTATATCTATGTACATACATATATGGGGATAATTTATTTTCCATACAATTCATAATAACCTCACAAAAGTAGTAG